ACATCCACTGTTCTACCATCATCTAGCCACTCGGTTGTGTCTTCATAAAAGTCCCTGCCCTTGTCAAAAGTCCCTTCCCAGCCTTCCTGTAGCCCCTTCAGGTCTCCCTGGCGCCTTCTTTTCTCCAGGCTGAACAACCCTAACTCTCTCAGCTTTTCGTCACAGCAGAAGTGCTCCATCCTTCTGATCATCCTTGTGTCCTCCTCTGGACCTGCTCCAACAGATCCATGTCTTTCCTGTGCTAAGGACTCCAGCGCTGGACACAGCACTGCAGGTGGGGCCTCACCAGAGCCGAGTAGAGGAGCAGAATTACTTCCCTTGACCTGCTAGCCATGCTGGTTTTGATGCAGTCCAGGATATCGTTGGCTTAAGAAGGGGTGAACTGCCCAAGCTCACGTGCCTTGCATCTATACAATTTAGTTGATGCAAATAGTTTATACACAACCTCGAAGTGTTCTGGACAAAAATATTGCAAGGTCAAGGCCAAACACTGTTCTAAGCTCCCTGAACACAGAGAGTGAAACCACAGGGCACAACAGTGGGGAGAAGGTAGCAGTACCTCTGCACACAGGGGTGCTCTGCTCTTCTGTGCCTCCTTCCATGATTTCTGGTATGGATTTTCGGTGACGTCCTGTGGCTGTTTCACCAGCTCTGCAGGGTCCATCAAGCTCATTGGCACAATGCTGAAGGCATAGAGATACTAGAACAAAAACAGACAGCTCAAATGCAAGAAGCTCTTGCCATGACTGCAACTCTGAAAAGGTCAGCAGTGAACTAAGCCACCTGAAACAGTAACACACAACTTAGCATTGCAAGAACTCCGCAGGCCAGTGTTTAAGCTAAGGAGGGACATGAAAAACACACTCCCTGTGCCAGTCTCCCACTCAGTGCAACAAAGAGTTTATGGAGTGCTTTCAAGTGGCTCACTCCTTTCACTTTAAGGAAAGATCTTTTTGAAAAGCAGCAGTGTATCCTACTTGAAGAAGAAACGACCTCAATCCTGGCCTGTTTCCAGGCCTTCTTTCTGTCCAGAACTCCTGGATCTTTTTTTGTTAGCAGGTCTGGTTTTTATGCCTTCTTCAGCACTAGCAACCTGTCCCTCTATAGCAATATTCTGTACTTTTCTTAAGGGAAGAAGAGAAACAGGTTAAAAAAAAAGCAAAACAACCCCACACAAACCAAAACCAGCCCCTTCTCAGCCCAGAAGTTAGTTCTTTTCAGTGATTTTTAAGGGCTCCTCTGGAATTTCACTTCCTTCTTAAAGCAGGCCATGCAAACAAAAAGTACGTAAAGCAGCTGGGTAAGAGGAAAGAGTCACTTTCCCCTGCAGCTGTCTTCACAGCTACACGCCATTTGACCAGGTAGAGAATAACAACAGTGCCTCAGAACACATCTTGCAGCCCTTACCCTTCTGACATAATAAGCAAATGGTATCTACTACTCAAGTGAGACAGATCCCTTCACTTCAGTCAAGCTTTGACGTGACTGATGTTGTCTTCTAGCTAGCCAAAGCTGGACTTACTGCCCTATTACTTGTACTTGAGAAAAGAAGAAAGTTTCAAGAGTGTCAGTACCTTTTTCTTGCTTGTATTGCCAACATCAGCAAGCGCAATAAACCTGCTCACATGCTGTGGGGTCTCCTGTAGCACTGTGTGATTTCTGAAATGAAGCAAAACATGACTGTACTGGCATATACAATATAGATAAGGACACTGGGAAAACCATGTGTGCTCTGTGAAGCTGCTCAGACAGCATGTCAGCCACATACAGTCTGACCAAAACCAAGGAGGCCTGAGGACAGACAGGCTCATGAGATCTAACAGCAAATAGCTGCACGGACCAAAATGATATCTCATGGCAATCCAAATACAGAGGTGAGAGGACAATTCAACTAGTCTGAAAACAGCTACAGCTTTCAAGTGTTACCAGTAGAAAGGATAATAATCTTATCCAACATCAACATGACAGCCTTAGCTTTATTTGGAGGTTGTTCTCACAGCTACCTTATGTCACTAGTCATATTTTATATACAAAGTTACAACTGAAGACACCAGTCTCTTCACCACACAGCCCTGAATTAGGCTCAACACTGTTTAAATGCAACTAAGGTCAAGCAATGCAGCGTCAGATTCAAGCAATTAATTCAGACAG